TGTGATTATAATTAGTAATATATACCTCATTATCGAAGAAATATGAATGCCAACATCATCTGTCAAATGATAACATTCTTTCAACTTGAGTCATAAGGAAGTTTAAATTATTAAATTAGAAACTTAATTTTATGAGTAACAATTATCTAATTTAACTTCGTCCACCCTGAGTTCATTGTAAATTTAAGTAATTAAATTAGGAAGTTAATTTTATAAGTAACAATTATTTAATTTAACTTCTTCCAGCATGAGTTAATTGTAAATTTGAGTAAATAATTTAGGAACTTAATTTTATAAATAAAAATGATTTAATTTAGTTTCTTCTTGATTGAGTTTATTATAATTTATTTTATAAATAACTAATTTTTTAATAAATTTTAATAGAAGTCGATGAAATATGTAGTTAAAAAGTTGTAGGTTCCATAAAATATGTTATTAAAATCAATTGTCAGCTTTGATTTATTTTAAATTTTTACGAAAGATGGGATATATAATTGAATACCTTTTCCCCTCAGAAAATTATGAAGATTTACATTTTTTTTCCTTGAGCAAAAAAAAAAATTAATAATAATAATAATAATAGAGAGAGAACAATTTGACCAAAATGAAAAACAAGAACCATACAATTAATAGAAATCTGTCCGGAGATATATTAATGAAAATGAAAAACAAGAACCATACAATTAATAGAAATCTGTCCGGAGATATATTAATGAATGGGATATATTCTTTAATTCTAATTTCCCTAATGCTAACACCTCAATTAATCCCTAATTCGTTGCTCTAATTAGCATAAGCATTTTATTGAGATTCAATGGTGCAACTTAAAAGATTAATTAAGTCCTCATGTATTGAATTATACCCTGGACACATTTTCTATTGTGGAAATTTAGCAGCAAAGAGGAGTGAGAAAGTCAAAAATTCCGCGAAGAAATAAATAAAAAAAGAAGCAAAAACAAAACAAAAAATAAGTCACTCTGAACACACGGAAAACCCAGTTTAAGTACTAATTGCGGCTCTAGCACCTCACCCCTTTCCACCATTTTCAAACCTCTCTTTCTCTCTCTATATAAACCCACCTTCTCTATCTTCTTGTATTAACCACTTTCTGTACAAAACTATCTCTCTAAAAATCTCTCCAATTCTTAGATACCTTTTTGTGTCAATCAATCAGTTTCTCTATTAAGAGTAATCAATAAAGATGGATTTTTATCATGGTGAATTAGATGGTGCAAATTTCAACAACCAAATTAGTGAAGAAGAAATGGAGCTTAGGAGAGGTCCATGGACTTTCGAAGAAGACCTCGCTCTCATTAACTACATCTCCCAACACGGTGAAGGGCGTTGGAATTCCCTCGCTCAATCTGCAGGTAATTTAATTTTTAAAAAGGTTGGTTTTGCGGACTGAATATATACTTATGTATCTATAGATATGATCAAGAATATTTATGAGCAGGAAGCATTCATTTCTTTACTTTGTGAATATATCATATTTGCAAAGTTCAATGGCCGTACAGAATGAGCATAAAAAAAAGTGTTGAAATCGCCCAATAAAAGTTGTATGTAGGGGCTAAAGTAAAAGGCACAAGCTATAAAGTTATTAAAGTAGGGCTTTAGATAGTTCTGAGAAATTTACAAAAAAAAATTGTTGGCTAATGGAAAGTTCACCGGCACAGGTCTAAAGAGAACTGGAAAGAGCTGTAGATTAAGATGGCTGAACTATTTACGCCCTGATGTTCGACGAGGAAATATCACTCTTGAAGAACAACTTTTGATTCTTGAACTCCATTCTCGATGGGGTAATCGGTAAGTTAATATTCTATAAATTACGTTGGAGATGAGATTTAAATAAATATACATGATTTAATTGATTTTGAATAATCGATGTTGTAGGTGGTCAAAAATTGCTCAATATTTGCCTGGTAGAACTGATAATGAGATCAAGAACTATTGGAGAACACGAGTACAAAAACATGCTAAACAGCTCAAATGTGACGTGAACAGCAAGAGATTCAAGGACACCATGCGTTATCTTTGGATGCCAAGATTAGTTGAGAGAATTCAGGCGGCCGCTGCCGCAGCAGCTGCCGGCGGTGCTTCCTCCACCACCCAATACAAACCCATCAGCCATAACATTTCCAGTATAGACAACAGAGGCCCAAGCCAAAAGGGGTTGCCAGTGCCACAGGCTAACAACAGTAACATGGTTGGGAATTATGGCGGCGGTATTTTTCCGGTTAACACAAACGCCACCAGCTACACGGCGGAGAATTCTAGCACCGCCGCCTCATCAGACTCATTCGGCACCCCAGTTTCAGACCTCACAGATTGTTACAATTATGCAGTTAATCAGAACACTAATCAGGATTACTATCCTGCTAATCAGCTAGCCTATGGAGAAACCTTAACCAGCCCCACAGGTTACTTTAACCAAGGGTTAGATTTCACAGTTATGGAGCAAAATAATCAATGGATGGACGAAGGGAACATATACGAGAATTTGTGGAATGATGATGACTTGTTCTTACAACAGCAATTCAACAACAATTTTTAAGGAATAAATCGAAGTGTTTAATCCTCAGTTGTAGAAAAAAAAGAAGTCATCAAATCATCAAAAAAGGAAATAGGTTTTTGGTCACATATAGAATTAATCAGTGGATTTGATGTTTGTATTAATTCTTATTTGGTTTTTTTCGTTTCTTATTTAATTTGTGGGGGGTAAAAATAAATTGTAATTCTAGGGTTTTTTTTATATAATTCTTTGAAATTGACATTAGTTTGAGTATCGGTCTCTTTTATTGGATATTTGACACTTAATTGTACTTTCTCTCTATTATATATCCATCCTTATTAACTTAATTACCATTTGATAGCAATTTTTGATCGATATTTCACTATGCTAACCGTCATTTTTTATTTCTTCACTCACGGGTGATATCCACTTTTCTTTCTAACGGTTAAAAAAATCACTTATCATAATCATTACCGAACATACCTTAAGTCTCCATATGTTCTTTAAATACATAGAAAAAGAGATATGTGTAATCATCTGTTATAATTCAATTCTACAATAGTAAATAAACTGAATGAACCACTCTAATTAACTGATGTTTTCATAATTTACTTATTTTTTTATTTATTGTTTGCGATAATATGAAAAAGGAATTTAATGCACTTGTTTTTTAGTGGATATTATGCATAATTGATTCCACTATAAATGTCTTTGTTGCTTACTATTTTAATCTGTGGAATTTTTGAAACATAGACTATGGGGCCTGAACCAGATTATTAATAAAAGACCACTTTTTTGTAGTTCTAGATTAGGGGAAATAAAGACATGCTACATTTTTTGAATATTATTATTTTAAAGTCTTCCATTAGTGTGATCTTATCATGTTATACAAATGACAAGTGAGTGGCTTGCGATGTTACCCATGAATGAAAATGAATATTAATTAATATTTTCTAATCTCCCAATTATAGTCTTCAATCTGGTTTTTGATTTATTTGTTTTTGTACGACGAATGTTGTTCTTTTGAGTTGAGCCCATATAACTAGACAAAATCAAGAAATGTCTCATTTTTTTGCACTTGAATTATACTACCATAAAATTCAATTTACACAATATACATGTGTTGTACGTGGAATATATTGAGTATTAAAATTCCATTTAAATATCAGCTTTTTTTTATAGATAGAATTCGAATCCTTAACTTTCACATTTAAGTAATATGAGACTCTGGCTGGTTGAGAAACGCCAAAATTTAAAGTACGGTAGCTTTTCATTTAAGCTTACTGAAATTCGATACCCTATTTTAGATGTCTATTTTGTTTCCATACACAAAATGCTATTTTCATATTGAAACGTCGTGAGATTTCTGCTCTTAACATAACATGGACATAAATTATTAATATCCATACTAATATATTGAATCGTTTATATAACACAACTTATTTCGTAACTTTAAGATAGTTCGGTAGTTGATCAAAATTTATCTCATATCCATTTTGAAATTTTAATGTGAAAAGAGAAAATTGTTTCATTTGCTGGGACCATTAGCATTAAGCAGCATTCAACAGTAAATAACGAAAAATATCCCTTTTAAGAACTTGGAAAATAAGTCTTCTTGTGGACTTGAAGAACGTGATGAAATGGTCACAAGTACAAATAGGAAAAATACGTACAATATACATATAAATAATTGTATACACGTAGATATGCATGCGAATAATACTATTTGCAGTAACTCAACGTTGCAATCGTCCAACATAGCACACATGTGATGGTTCTTGATTTGATACACTAATATGATAGTTTTTATTATTTTATGTATTAAATCACTAACCACTACTTGTATTTTACATCAAATGATTGCAATAATGAACGATTGCAAATAGCATTATTACGTCCATAAATAGAGAGGAGGTGTGTGGGGGTCTGGCTGCGGGAATCTTTTTATGCCGCGTGCCTCATAGAGAAGCCACCAAAAGTGGTCCCCAAAATAAGAGGTCCCACGTGTACAAATATTATAATAAAATAATAATATTTTTTATTAGGCTTCCTTCACTTAGAGCCGCAACACTAGAAGCAAATCCAACCTATAAAATTATGTAACAGACACGTAACTCTATCGTCCGTAGACTATTTTTTGCTTAATTACGTGGGCATTTGATTTAGGAACACAATTAGGACGTGTTTGGATTCGAGTTAAAACATTTTCTCCTCGTGCTGTTTAAGTAAATCTCTCAATTTGATCTTAAAAGCTACTTTTTTTTAGAGTAAATGAAGCTATTTTGTGGATCGAAATCCTGTCTCTGCCATTAAAACTTTTTTCTCTCGTCAAATTAGATCTCAATGAATTCGATTTCTGTTTCCATCATTGGATAGGGTCAGTGACTAGAAACTAATGAAATATTACGGAAACAGTTGAATTACACACCAAAAGAATGTACGTATCTACAATGTACCAACCGATGAATGTAGAGTACAACTGGATTCCACCAAAATTCCAAAGACTGAATTTCTTTCAGCCACGTTGAATTTTTTCTGATCCTGTGCGGCGGGGTCGCTGGATGGACAAGTTTCAAAGATTTAATCTACGATGAGTACTTTTGAATAGTGCCACGTGGTGTTTGATTATCGATGTTGATTCAAATAAGTGGGACCCATATATGTGACTTGCGAGAGGACTGATTTGGCATCTGAAAAGTTGCTGTCAATCAAATCTATTTGGTAACTATAAAAGGTGGTGTTTGAATGATTCTAAGGGGCCACGCAGATAACGAATATACTGTTCATCTAGTGCGGTTGTTAGAGGTGACGTAAGGATGGAGTAGCTCGCCGGGTCTCGATCTATGGGCGACTAACAAGCCACAAGCTAATGCTCGACGTGCCACGAGCCTAATGGTAACAAAAAGTGACCATATGGATACTTCACAATTTCAATCCATTTTTCACACAACTATCTACTTTCTTCTATATTCTCCCCACAATCAAAATATCAAATTATTATGAATTTTATTACTCACCTACACATTTTATTATATTCAATTATATTACATCCATTCTCTCAATTCAATTCTCTACACTACATTCTTCATTATCCAATTTGTACATTTTATCCTCATTCAAATTACATTCTCTATTATAATTCCATTTTATCATTATGCATTTGTATTATATTACATACACACGGATCCTAATACTTTGTCGATGGCTTGTTCGTTGACAACTTACATATGACGACACAATCTCAATTCCGCAATGAATTTTTCGATCACAACGACATCCCCATTCCCGACAATTTGTCTAGAATGGACATTGATGATACTGACGAAAATACTAATCCAATTGATTTGGATGACAATGATGAAAAACCCTCAAACCGAAACAAGAAAGTCACGATGCAAGAGGAAAGCAAAAAAAGTTGCAAAGTGTTGGAAACACTTTAAATTGCATTTAGCATGACGTATAGTCAACAGAGTTTAAGAGAGCAAAGCATTTGTGTAAGTACTGTAAAATAGGATTGACATGGCAAAAGGATATCCGTAGTACCCATCTCAACCATCAATACCTCAAATGTATTGCCAAACATGGACTCATTGGTAGATCTCAAACACAATTGTAATTAGATACTCCTTCTTCCAGATGATACCTAGAACTTGAGGAAATCGATTCTTTGTGTTTTGGATGCTTGATTTAAAAAAAAAAAAAAATTATACATGTAACAAGATATTCGTGTACAATTTTAACTTCACGTACTCGAAATAAGTAGTCAATCCCAAACCAGCAAAAAAGTAGAAAAATTGCAAGCTCATAGGCCAAGCTCGGGTCAGCCACGAGCTCAAGGTCTCAGCCGAGTTGATCATAGGTTCGACTTGTCTTTGACGAGTCACAAACTTACTCGTCTCTTGCCTGAGCCGAGCCATGCAACCTCTAGTTGTTGTGCCATCATTTGACCAAACCAAGCCACAAGTTAGCCAATACTTGCAAGGGAAAATATTATTTCAATTCGATTAGAAAGACTGGTAATTTTTGGTGATGAAATTCTGAAAGTTTATTTTTACACGAAAATGTGTCTAGGGACAAGATTAATAGAAGTTGGTAGAGAAAGTATCGTGAATGAAAAAATAATGGCTTTTTCGTCTATCTACAACCAATTTGCGATGGAAGAGAATGTTCCATCAGAATAATTATTTATTTCTATTGAAAAAAAAAAGAAAGGGGGAAAATAACAAGATGATATTGGAACATCAATTTGGAAGAAAATGGTGGAGGCAGGAGGTCATTTTGGCCAGGTAATGGGAAGTGGAATCCTAAAATGGCACATTATATCTCTGCAAAGCATGAACGTATTAGTATTACAAATGTAATAGAACTGTTCATTTTTTATTCGAAACTTGTGATTTGACTTTTGATGAGGCAAATAGGGGAACCAATTCTTAATTTTTGGTACAAAAATAAAGCGGTAGCATGGGTTGCGATAAATGCCCAATGTCATTATATTTGTAAAAAATGGCTCGACAATATGTTAACGAATTGGTTCAAGGACTTGAGAATGGAACAAAAAAACAAGAAGACTCAACGGTCTTTCGAGAAGGGATGCAGCTAAAGTAGATATATTGACATTTTTGTTAACCCATTATTGTATAACTTGACTTCCAAGAAATTATTTAGTATGTAGTACTAGACAATGATGAATAGAATAACTAACTAAAGTAATCATTTTTTTTTTTTTCAAGTAAATGTTTCTATAGAAAAAAATAAGTTTGCTATTTCTTTCTATATTAACTATAATTAATGTTGACTTTCTCGACTACTTGCAATTATGGATGATGTTCCATATAGGACAATGTTTAAGAAGAAGATTGAGAAGTTGATGTGATTAACGCATGTAGATGAAGATTACTACAATGTTCACTTTGTGAAGCTAACTCGTGTCCTACGGTTAGTAAGAATTCTAGGATCTAGTTTTTGTTTCGAAAGTCGTTAATATTTGAGTTGCTTGTAAGGTATTTCCTAATTTATTTATTTTTTAAAGTCAATATCAGGTGGATAGACTGGAGTTAGCTATCTACATCAAGACATTTTACAGTGTTTTGACGTTGAATCTAGTATGTAGACGTTGATAATTTTTTTAGATTTTTTAAAATTATTTGTTCTAATAATGTCTCGTGCGACTTTAGAGTTAAAGATTCAATGAATATGGACTTTATATATGTATAGAAGTCTTAATTAGGTATACTTGAGGACATTGCTCCAAATAAGGAAATCAAGATTGTTTT